CAGCCAAATCCTTTCAGACTTCGTTAAGTCTTGATTCTTCTGAAAATGAAAACTTTTGACAACCTGACTTCTACCCTAATATCCGTGCTTTGCATAGTATTTTGAGTATGCAGTTGTTTGCAAATCTTTATTGAATTCTTCTTTGTTATACTGTGAGGAAAGGATTTAATTTGGGGGGTATATTTCTTTAATTTTACTGAGCACATCGGAAAGTTGTTTTATATTTTGTTTAAATGTTCTTTGAATCAAAATATTTACAGAACAAGAAGTTCTTCTGACCAACAGCTTGTTCTACTTGTGTCTAACTGGTAAAGCATTAGGAATGACGGCAGAGGATGCTGTGAGCTTTTTTACAAACAAGCTAATCCCATTGTCAAAAGTGTTTATTATAGGTGTCAAAGAATCTTTTGATATATGTTGGTAAAATTTAATTTTTTTTACCCAAGGATGGAGAATATTGATTGTTTTCTACTTTGGAGGAGAACAGTATGATTAAATAAAATAATTACACTTAACTATAAATCGTTAAGAGATTCAGTTGTAAGAAGAGAAGATTGCAATTCAGTTTGTGTTTTTGTTTTTAAAAAGTATAAAAACACTCATATTTAATACCTTTTATAAAAATATTGTATGTATACCTCTCTTTGCTGCTGAATGATGTTACTGTTTAGTTGGATTTTTAATTTATCAAATAACTAAGCAAATGCATTTTTATTATAAAGTAGTAATGCCTAGCAATATCTGAGCTTTGTGCTTTCTGTGTAACTGTGCCCTGTATTCTAAAAGTTTAATTTTTACTAGTTGTTAATAATTAAGTTTAAGATATATACAAACATATATATATATATATATATATATATACATATATATATATATATGAATATATCAGGTACACATTAAGTATTAGCTTTAATAAAGACACAAGTGTACATTTAATTCAATGTGGATTAAAATTGTCACAGGAAAGAATGAGCCCAGTGGTTGTAATAGTACAAGAAAATGGTCTTTAGTGTGTAGATATTTAGAGGAATAAAGTTGAATGGTTAGCATTTGAATTGGTAAATTATGAAGAGCTTATGTGTGACTTTAATAAAAAGTTAATGATTTTTTATTTAATCTAACAGGAATCACACACAAACTCATAGATAAAATGGAGTTCTGTTTTAGCTGTTTGTCAAATATCAAAATACTCTATTTGCGGAGTACTTTCCATTTTTAGAATGAGAACAAGAAGTAAAATAATTTCTAGGAATATTTAAGAATAATAACAACCAGGTAAGTATGATAAATATCATTTACAAAATTTCCTCTGTCTAGTCCTTTACAAAAGGGAAAAGGAGTGAATCAAGCAAATAAAAGGTGACCCAACAAAGCCGAAAGATCTAAGATTGGACAGAAGTTTTTAAAAAGTAACAGCCAAGAAAAAACTGAAGATGGTTTTCAGGATCATGATGGCTTCTCAACCCCGTCTATGGATCCCTGACATTTTTGGAGAGTGGGGGAAGTGATTCATTAAACATAGATAAGTGTTAAAAAATAGATAAATCTTAAATTAGTAACACAGCACCAGACAACAGGGCTGAATTGAAGGCTGGGGGAAAAGTCAGAAAAATCCCTCAAGAGTAGAAATGTTCCCTAATTTTTTGTGGCATCCCCGCAGAGGCAGAGATTCATAACAATGTCTGTCATTTTTTAAAAACTATACGACTCATAAAAAATTGATAGGAAACTATGTGATTTGTACGATAAGCAATCATAGACTATACAAATCTAAAGAAAAAAATTTGGAAGAAGCTGAAGACTCTTTTTGTCTCCCAAATATCACATTGATTTATTGCATAGAACCCAAATCCAAACTCAAGGTGAAAAGCGCTAATAAGCATATTGAGGACATTAACAGTGATTGAATGGAGGAGCAAAATGCAACTAAAGGAGCACCAGTGCAGAACGAATCCATTAAAAAACCTGTTATGAAAGGAAAATTTGAAATAATTATAGCATATTCCAGGTAAGAAGTAATTAAAATAAAATAGATGGGAATGATAAAGGCATCCAATATATGGATACTTTCTGTATATCAGGTAGAAAAGCAAAGAAATTCTTTAAGAAAATGGAAGAAAAATTCTTTCGCATAACACACTGTCCTGTATCACATGAAGGGCTCATTTTCGGTGAAAAATTGAGAAATAATAAATGGTAATAACTCTTAACTATGATTAAGATTGTGACCTACATATAGAATTCTTCAGAAACACACCTCGGTATAGAAACTAAAACTCTGAAATAAGTACAGATCTTTTAGATTTCCAGATTTTCCTCCAAATACAATGATGCCTCACCAAAAATCTTCAAAGGAAAGCAGAATTCAAGAATCTTTAGCCAAATTGTCGTTCAATCATAAAGGAAAAAAAAAAGAATTTCTTTTTTTTTTTTTTTCTTAAAATGTATTTGGTACAGGGTCTTGCTACGCAGCTCGGACTTGTAGTGATCCTCCTGTTTTCAGCCTCTCCAGCACTGGGATTACCAATGCTGTTATCTCTTTTTAACTTTTAGAAACTAGCCTCTGGATGTGGAGCATATTATCTGAAGTTTAGCCTTGCTTTCATTTTTACTGCATTTGCTTTTCTGCCATCAAAATTAAGTAATTAAAATGGCATCAAAATTAAGTAATTAAAATGGCATGAGTAATACAATCTTATTTTAATAAAATCCATGCCTGGTCTCAGTGGTTGGCTCAGTGTGCCCGGGGGTGGGGATGGTGGGGCATGTAGAGCCAGGGATTGAACCCCGATGCCTGCACTTGCCTAAGCAGATGCTTAGTCTCCTGAACTTACCTTGCAGGCCCTAGAATTTCAAATGTAACATCGATGAAGAGTTTTCTGAAAATGTGAAGCATATCTTATAAAATGAAGACCAGAGTGTGGATAAATAACAACCAACATGAGAATTACAAGGGATACAGACAATATTTAAGCACAATGGGAAATGCCTAGGCGCTGTTCATTTCTTGCAATATGGTCTAACAGTTTTTACCTTGAATTCTACAGAATAAAAATTCTACAGAATAAACCGGTGTGATATTGGGAGACAAAGGGAGTCTTGGGTTCCTTCCAGACTTACTTCATTAGGTTTGTGTGTGGCGTGATTAACTACAAATCTAGGAGAGAAATACAGTGTGAGGGAAGCTTTCACGCATAGACAAGCTGTTTTTACAATATGAAAGCAAAAGTCTGAGGAACAAAAATATGGTGAAAACTTTATGTAAGAAAAAAAACCAGGGGCTGGGGAGATGGCTCAGTGGAATAAGCCCTTCTCTGGTGAGTGTAAGTGCCTGAGTTCAATCCCTGGTTCCGCAAACAAACAAACAAACAAATAAAAAACAGAAAAAAAGGTAAAGTTCTGCAAAAACTTAGAGGTAATATTCAGCCAATGAAATAATACAACTAAGTAATTTAGAAGCAGACAGTATTGTTTACAAATCTTTCCACCAGCCAAATTGTCTTTCAATCATAAAGAAAAAAACAAATAGAATTTTTTTTTTTTTAACAATGTATTTGGTATAGGATCTTGCTACACAGCTTGGACTCATAGTGATCCTCCTGTTTTCAGCCTCTCCAGCACTGGAATTACTAGTGCTGTTACCTCTTTTTAACTTTTAGAAACTAGCCTCTGGATGTGGAGTATGTTATCTGAAGTTTAGATGAAATGGAAGTTCCTATGGAATTATTAGAGCAAAGAAACCATTATAAAAGATTCCCTGTATATTGACTTTTAAATTTTTGTTTGAGGTGTTATAATAAGAACTTGAAGTACAATATTAAGTTATAAGAAATAAAAGTCTTTTTCAGAAAGGTTGTATAATATATGGGCCATTCCTTCTAAGTTTGAGGCTATCTCTTGTGTTTTGCTTGCACTAGTCAGTTCTTTAATATATTATCATTGCCCAAGTACTAGTTTTTTCTCTCTCTCATAAACACTGTTATGATTTCGATTTCCTGTTATAAGTCATTATAGTTGTGGTAATGTCTATTCTTTATAATTTTTTTTTATTTTAGGAAAGGGTCTACAGAGTATTCAGGGTCTCACTCCTAGATCAAATTCATACTGATCCTCCTCTTTACAGCCTCCCAAGAGCTGGGATTACAGGTGCATGCCACCACACCCAGTCTCAATGTCTGTCTCAGTACACCCTGGGAGGTGGGACCAGCACGGTAGGCCCAGGGATCAAACCCCCAGCCCCTGAGCCTGCTTGCAGGTGCTTTAATCTGCTGAGCTATTTGGCTGGCCTTATTCTTTGTAATTATAGTATTTAACTTCCTCTCAGTATCATCCAACCATCCCTGTCTAACCAACCTTTCTATTACAGTCTTTCAGCATTCTATACAATAAATTTATCATGTAAGTTACACCAGACTGTTGCTTAGGATCCCAGCCTATAATCCCAACACTTGGGAAGTCTGAGGAAAAGGACTGTAGCCTGTAAGATTTATAGCTTTTCTAAGATCCTGTTTCAAAAAAGGGGATAGGTGGAGGGTTTATGTTAGTGCAGACACTTTGGGTTCCATCCCATTCTGCAAGAACTAAAGTGAAACATAAGAACATAAAACATTATTTGTCTGTTTCTGAACATATATTTCCTACATTTTTCTTATCTGAAGCAGTTATTATGTTCTTTTTTTGCTCGTTATTTAGCAAGTATTAATAAATGTGTTTTCATGGCCCACTTAAAATATCTTTGTCTTGATAACTTGTTACAGTTCACTCGATTTATTTTTGCATATTTTGCTAGACTTTATGTATTGCTTTTTTTTTTTTTTTTTTGGTAGAACTGGGGATTGAACTCAGGTCCTTGCACTTGCCAGGCAAGTACTTATTCCACTGAGCCATCTCCCCGGCCCCTATGTATTGCTTTTATAGTAATTTTATGTGGAGTTATTTATGTTCATGGCTTGTATTTCTGTCCAGTTTGTGAACTTTTCTCTATATGCATTTTCTCTTAGCATGTAAAAGTCACATCTGGGATCCCATCTCAGGCTGGCAGCGATATTCAGCGCATCATCTTAGATCAGTGCTACAGTTTTGTTTGTGTGAATGTAAGTAGTAAATACAAATGATTGAAAGAAGTTGAAGATCCGAAGAAAAATAGTAACAAAGAAAAGTAATAATTTTTCTAGATCTTTAAATATTTGAATATGAAATGTTTTGGTTTTTTTCTCATAATTTAGTTGAGAAACAAATAGCAATGAGAGAGTTTCAAATCCGATTAGTAGGACAGTTTCAATAATTAGTACATTGCATATTGTTGTCTTAGTGGTTATTCATTATACAGGATGCTGACATGATATCCTGTTTACAAATAGTATTAGAACAAATCTTTCTATTCAT